ACCAGAGCCGGTCACACAAGGCAAGAGCAGGAGCTGTGCTTGAGCGCGAGGATCAGAGACCGGCAAAAAGAACCCGTAGCCCTCCAGGCTTTCTACCAGAAAAGGCAGAAGCAGGATACGGGGAATCTGGTGGTTGGCACGGGCCCAAAGGCAGCCCCTGCCCAGGAAAGAGGAGCATCTGAAGGAAGGTCCCACAAGTGTACAAGGATGTGCTGGCACACAGGGCAAAAGTGGGAATGGCTGGGGGGGGTCAAAGGCTGGGAAAGTCATGGGGAAAACATGCCGCCTCAAAACGACCGCTGTAGGTCCTGCTTAAGTACTGCTCGTAAAATAGCAGTAGTAGAGCATTGCTAAACTGTGCTCAGCAACTCCCACCTCCAACAGCTTCCTAATGCACTAAAGGCAAATTCTAATTTTTGTACTGTCAGAGATTTTGTCTCATCCTTTGTATAGCTCCAGATGCTCCTTAAAACAGAGCAAGCAGTATTTTTGCTGCCCATTTCAGTTATTTTAAAGTTTCCTTATTTGCAACAGCCACTTCTTTAAAGTGAGATTCAAGTCTAAATGAGGACACAGCTGTTTCCTCCTCTTCCCTCATCTTTGCAATAGCTGCAATCGGCAGTGAGTCTCGGAGCATTCTCATTTCTTCCCGTTAAATATTTGGGAAAACAGAGATTACTCAGAGTTGCCAAAGTAATGTTTTCAATAGCTGAGAGCTCAATAATTGACTTCCTTGAAATTTTCACCAGCTTCTAGTTACTTCTGGAGTCCCAGCCCACAAGACAGATGACAGCAAATTATACTTTTTTTTTTTTTTTTTTTTTTAAGGCTTTGCATAACATGGAAACTGTTCCTTCTTTCCCATTTCATAACTGAAAAATGGGCACAATCAATAGCTCGCTGCTGGCAGCAGTGTTTAGCAAGCCTGCCACATGGAGCCCAGGCAGGTGTTCCTAGGGCTGAATGCCAGTATCTTCCCCATCTTCCCAGTTTACACAAGGAGCTCGTTCTGTCCTCCAGATCCCAGGGGACTCCACAGCACCCTCGCCACTAAAGTCAGTGTCAGCACGCCTTTTCGGTGCCTACATCCTGAACTGACAGATTTAAGATGGCTTTGGATAATCTCAATAATCATTTGGGTTTGGTTATAGATCTCAGATAATAAACAACAATACCCGTGCCATTTCTTGCTTACATGCTTTTTCACCAATACCTCTACTGTAAGACAAGACAATAATACTGCTTTAAATCTGACTACGTAAAACAGTCTGTTCATATCCTTGGCCATGAAGTCTCCTCAAAACAAGCATAAAACCAGTAAAATACTTTTGATAGTGTGCATCCAAAATATTGATGGGATGGCTTTACCTCAAATATACCAAAACGTATTAGAATACTCTTTGCAAAACTGTAGTTTATCCCGTTTTTTCAACTCCACTGTCAATGGCACTGTACAATGAGCAGAGAATTTCACAGCACCACGTACATTGCCAACAGTTCATTTCTTGAAGTATTATTTCAGATTAGTCCAAATGACTAGTTTATTACACTTTCTTCTAACGCATAATGTTTTATAATCAATACAAAAATAAGTTTCAGTTATTTAGTTGACTACTGTCAAGTCTTTTAAGTTTTGATCTTTAAATAATTCTAGAGCTTCACTTTCAGTAGCAGATGTATAAGGGCTCTTATATGTTCACTGAAACAAATGAAAAAACTTCCAATCAACTACAAATTGTTTTATCTTTTTGTCTTTCCTGTATACTAGCTCTTTAAATCGTAAGCTTAAATAAGTCTTTAAACATCTTTGCTCAGTGATAGACTATTTTTTTGTCCATGTAAAGATGCCACAATTGATATTTCCCCCTGTAGAACACGACACTCTCCTTCCTAATGGTGCATTTTCCAGATGGTCTTTAATGGGATACCTTGGAGAGGCTAATGGCACTAACTTATTTACACTGCCTTTGATTCAGGTGGGGGGATATAAAGCAGCAATGTAAATTTGAGTGGAAATAAACTCTATGGTGTGTAGTATGTGAAAGCAGATGCCACAAAGTTTCAGACTGGGATGATTACAGGCTTTTAAAATATATTTATAGCTGTAATTGATGCAGAAAGATGCAAGAGTTCATATTCTAAAATTAAAAAAAATAAATAAATAAGATTTGGAAACTTACCCACCAACCGCAGTGCACGAAGCAATTTACTTCCTGGAAGTGAGATTTTAGGATAAAACCCAATACCACTATTGTGATATTTCCCCATAGCAACCATATGGACAAAACAATACACTGGGTTTAAAGATAGATGGTTCTGTGTTGTTTTTCTTTTGGTACCATGCAAGCTTTACATCTATTGGTCCATCATTAAAAAAAAAAAAAAGAAAAACAACCAACCAAAAAACCCACAATTAAAGCATTAATTGCATAAGGACAAGAGCACACCAACCTTGTCTCTCAGTTTACACACATGAGCACACATCCTTATGCATCATTTTAATCAACAAGATCGTTTCAATCCAGGTTGGTCTGAAAGGTAGAGTGTTCAAAGGTAAAACTCCACAGATTTTATAGGCTTGAAATAGAAAAAAATTCCATCAGTCTAGACAAGAAGCTGCACCTTGAGCTTACGCACTGGAGGTGAAAATCCACACAAAAGCAAGCTGTAAAAAAATCAACCAACCACAAGGAAACTAATGAAAACACACAATCTGCAAAGGGCCCGAATCCGTGGCAAACAAGGCCTCACCTGCATCAGTGCTGACGGCACCATTTAATTAAACAGCCGCTATTATTTAGTGGTGAGGTACCTGAGCACATACGTCCAGCAGCCCACGGTCCTTCAGCAAGTGGTGCCTGAGGGCTGCAGGGGCACCAAGCACCTTGGGTCACCGAACCTGCGTAGACCCAGTTCTGTGTGTTTTGGCTGCAAAAGTTGGTTAAAAAAAGCCCTAAAGTGTAACGAGCCCCATGGGGGGCCTCAGGTTACAGGCGATGCTGCATCAGCTTTGCATCCTGCTGGATCACAGCGGCTTAATATAAACATGCTGCCCTTGTCCAAACCAGTAACAGAAACGAAGACAGAAACTCAGAAATAAGCAATACGACTAGAGTTAGAAAATTCATGCAGGGGATTCGGCTGCATTTTGCTGTGTACTGTCTGCCTCTGGGCTTTCGTCACTTGAATACTGTCCTTGCCCTTTAGGACTGGCAGGAAAGGGTAGTGCAAAGCTGGGAGCATCGCGAGTCTAGACAGCAAGCTTTCACCCCTGACCACGGGACATGGTCTTGCATCACACTGCAAAGGGAAAATAAATGCAATATCAGGGGCTGTGTTGTGAAAAGTTGGAGCTTCCCAAGATTGGAGTTGGCAGGGCTTATTTGATAGTCTTGAAGATGAATGGGGAGAAATAAATAAGATTACACTTACCTCAACTTTGATTTTACTGTATGACATTGAACTATCTACTATAAAAAGAGCAATACAAGCAACTTGTGAAGTATACAGGGTAACTCTATCTTCCAAAATACACCTGAGCACAATTAGATTTTTCACTGAAGGGAGGCCATGAAAAATAAATCACATTTTTAGAGGAAAAAAACGAAAAGATGGGTAGGAATGGAAAGAGGCATGGCACTTCACAAGAGATAACAATGACAGAGCACCAGGAAAGCATAGAAGAAAACAGAGAAATAAAAATGGATACATGTAGCAGTTAGACACCACTGTAGGTAAATGGGACTATAGTCAAGTCAGTCAGGTATACATGACTGAAGCCATAATTATTATTTTTAATGCATGAAATACTACATTAACGTATGCACTATTTTTATTGAATTAAACACAGTCTCTCTGACTAAGTATATACAAAACAAAAGCACATGGAATAAAATAAAAGTGATAGCCATTCAGTGGACAAAAAAGTAGATTCTTTCAGATAAAAACCTAATTAAGACAGTTTTAGGGAACAAACCAAAAAGGAAATATAGCAAGATGACACTTGATTCCAGCAGTATTTATCAAACAAATACTGCAGAAATGTTAGCAAATGTCTGGCAATTGCTTGCTTTTCTCCATTTTTTAAAACAAACCAAGTAAAAAAACCAAATTTTCTAGGGACTCATTATAATAATCTTAAAGGGTACTATTTTGCTTGTTTAAAGAACTCTATTCTTCATTAGACAGCCAGCGCTACCCCCAGAATGATCTCCATAATTACACTGATATTTCCTTGGCATCACACTTACATCGATCCAAATAACTTTCTGGTATTAGTTGAGATAATGAAATCAGTATCTGACTTGTTTCCCCCATGCTGATTTACATGCTGATTTGAAAAGACTTTAGTGGATTTACTGAGAAGATGAAGGCGTATGTAATAAAGTCACACCCACTAAAGGCATAGCAAAGTGATATGTGAACAAAGATGATTAATTCTTTTTTTTTTTTTTTTTATGTAAGGTGTTATGTGTCAAGATGTCTCTTGACAACCTCTAACTTAATTGAAAATAAAAAGTGTCTATTACAAACATTTAGACTTGGGAAATCAACAGACTAGTCTGATGTACTTAAAGTTGGAACAATAAAGTATATTCTTCAATGTGATTGAGTCACAGAAGACCCTGGGGTAATGGAATGGATTACTAAATCAGGTAATAGCTGATGCTTGTTTAATGAGAACATTTCACAAAATAAAAGAGAGGGACAACTAATAAGATGTTTCGCTTTTGCCCATATGCAAGAGTGGCAGCATGGCAAGACATACTAGTATTGGAATCTATTATGCACGATTATCATCAAAATTGTAGGTAAGACACCAAATTACAATTGTGACACAGAAAGAAGTTCCACTTTTGGCAGCTTTTTGAAACCTCATGAGTGATAAGTTGTGTCTTCCTTTTGCCAGGACACAGTCTGTGGTGGTTCAAAAATTCCCAGACAAGTAAAATACACTAAAATGCTTAAAGTACACATGTAAGGAAAGCACTGGGTACAAGTTAAATGGAGCAAAGCATCTTTATTAAGAAATCACATTTTTATTCCCCCAAGTAACGGTACAGATTTTTTTTTTTAATGCTGAAAAACAGATTTGAAAATAAAAAGCTAAAATATAAAAACCTTTAAAACAAACTATAATTATTCTGAAAAGAGTTTGGCCCACTCTGAAAGAACTGTACTCTATCTAAAGATGCAACACAGTAAAAAGTTAAACACAATTCCAATTACTTCTGCACTATCAGTTCAGGTAGCAAGTGGTTCTGGAACAAAAATAAGTTAATTCCCAAGGTTTAACCCATTTCTAGCTTAGATGTTGTAATCAGATACAGATCTGCTGAGGTAAACACTTTTTTCTGAAGTACTCACCATCTATTACCACTCTAAATTACAACACTATCTGACAACAAAGTTAACCTATTTTCACCAGAATAGATAAGGAGCTCAAAAGTCACAGAGTCCAAAGGCAGTGTAGGGGATGGCTGCCACCTTTTAGCTCCTGCCTAGTGATATTTGTAGGGTTTTCCAGACCAAACTGTAGAGGAGAGCCCTCAAGCAGAGTAAGAGGTGGCTCTGTTATAGCACTCTGATCAGGGAGGGCTCACAGGTACACAGGGGAGACAGTGGAAGGTTTAAAGGGTCTGTGAGCAAGGCTTTAAGCCCCACGTGGCCAAGAAGCACGAGCCCAGTGCTCTGCACAGCAGAAAAAATAATTAAAAAGAAACAAGCAGGCCTGTCCAAGCATGCAAACACAAACTACTCCTTCTAAAGTAAGGCAGTCTAACACTTGGACCAGGACTGTAGTACACATTCAGATGGCAACCGGAGAAGGCTGTATATTTAACTCTGACCTCTGGTTAACTGTACATGCTTAAACATTCAATGTCAGCACCAGCAAGCCAACTGACACTTAATAGCAATAAGGAGTTAAAAAAAAAAAAAAATCAGTACTCCACTTGCAATTCCTAGCACAGAAGCCCCCAGGTACCGGCAGCTTCCCACCTGCCCTTGGAGTCCCAGTGAACAAAGGTGTCTCATTATCCTTCTCCCATGCCCTACCCCGCCTCCCACCCCTCAGTTCCAGGATATTCACCAACCAAAACATATAAAAAATACTTCATATTCCTGGAACTGCAGAATTAGAAAAATATTTGACATTTCAAACTACCACAAAAGTTGCTTTAATAAGTTACATGTCATATATTTTGCTTTCCACAGCAAAAAAAAAAAAAAAAAACAGAAAATTCAACCACCAAATCAGCTAAAAGCTGAAATAAAGTGTTACGAATCTGTTTTGCAGACACAGGCCTGCTGCCTTTGCTAAAGAGCAGATCTGTTGACATTGAATATCTTAACAGAATGATCAGCTCCACAACTTGCAAGCTGCAACCACTCACTGCTGTTCTGATCATTATGTCCAGCTCTGCCCGCATGATGTCTCCAACATAAACGTTTCACAGCAAGAGCATGGCTTTGGCTGCAACAATAAGACATCCATACATAACTGCAAAATGTCAAACACAGTTGGGCATGTGAATGTAAACATCAACATTTATATAATTAGTACTCTTCTGTTAACATCACCAACTGAGGAAAAACTGACTTGTGACAACAGCAGGTATTAAGTTCTTAAAATAAGTAGGACCATTAACACTAATGACATTTTATCTTCTCACTCATCAATAATTTAAAAAGCTATTGATTTCAAGTTTTACCACATTAAGCTGCAGGTTGAGCATCTCAATTACTGAGATATGACAGATCCCTGGCTTTCAGCCTGTGATTTCCTGTTATCTGCTGTCTCTTTCCAATTCACTTCAAGCACACACAAGCCACAGCCACCATCAGCTTTCATTTCTGGTCACATACCAATGCCAGTAAGTGCAAGAAGAATCCGGGAGAGTGCTTCAAGTGAAATACTCAAAGTCTCTCTACAGAGAGTTTCTCCAGCAGCACCACATATAGCTTGTTTTTCCTTTCGTTTCTGCTAAAACTGCTCTTGAAAGTTTGCTGTCATCCACTCCAAAATGTTTTGCTGACGTTTTTAGACAGACGTTCTTCTCCACCCCTCTTTAGTGTTTTCTATCACCTTATTTTATGGCTAAAGGTAATAAAGCCTTTTTATTTTATCTTACTTTGCTTTACGTGGGGCCAAGGGTAATACTTCTCTAAGCATTTGCATAGCAAAGTATTTGGGGGTTTAACCTCCACCCCCCCTTGGTTTTCATTCTGGTTTGTTGTTGGTTTTTTTGGGGGGGGGTTTAATACATCTAAATAACAAGTATCTTTATTTCCAGGTTTTGCTTAAAGATATCTGAAGACTTTCAGACTTTTCAAACTTTTCCTAAAAGGATAACAATTTTTGTCTTAGAAATGAACCAGTTTCATAGGATTTTATACTATAAAAACAGAACTCCAGCACTATTACTCTCAAGAATAATATTTCCTTGCTCCTAACTTACTTCAAAAGACATACCTGCTATCCATCTCAACACACATGGTCCAATCAGCTAGTGCTGGTTCTTGCCCACTCTGCTTCCATGTGTACAAGATAATCTTCCCATTCTCTAAGCCTACTGCAACAATATACCTATCAAGATAATAAATGTATTAGTTCTGAAAGACATTTCAGTACGCAGCTCAGTAAAGCCAGCTCTAATGCAAGCTAAAAGGAACTAGCACTCTAACACTGTGTTGCATCTAGCCCTTCAAATCAATATCTGCTGTTCCATGAAAATAAAGAAATTTTAAAAAAAAAAAAATATATCACGATTTAAATCATGCTTCTTCATAAAAAACGAGCAGAGCAGAAACCTGCAAAATATATCTGGCGAGGAAAAAAATACGGAGGTTATTACAACATCAGATCAAGTCAATATTATAGATAGAATTAATGTATTTCATGTGTGTTCATGCCCTCCTCCCCTTTCTTTCTTGTTACACTGTTTCAAGAAGTCACCATACACCTGAAAAGAAGGCTAGGAAATTAAAAAGTAGAGGTCATTCAGTCAAAGAATGCTCAAAATATTTGACAGGTAAATTTTAGGAGCTGTTTAGCCACAGAAAACTGACAAAAGGTGGAAAAAATGCTAATTTCAAATTAAACACAACATGACATTACAGAAAAACAGCAATACCTTCCATCAGGAGTAACCACAGGGCTGATACTAACAGCAGTAACAGAATCCCCAGCATCTAGTACTGTCGAACAAGGCTTGACTGAATCCAGCATATTCCCTTCAGTAGTCACAGATAAATTGCACTGGCCCCAGATAATGACCTGTAAGAAAGAGAATCCTCTAGGAATTTTAAATGCATTTACAAAAACATAAGGAATAACTGAGTTAAAATACTTCCAGGAGCACAAAGTGGATGACCTGGAAGACAGTTAACTATGTCTACCTGAAAGACTCAACTTTTTAGACAGTCTGACTTCATTAAAGATCCTGACAACAAAACCAGATTTTGTTATTGAAGGAAAACTCAGACACCCATAAGAGTTATGTGACATATGCTTGTCTTACTGTATGAAAAAACAGCAGAAGTCCAACTGGCAGACCAGTCTTGTACATACATATTCAAGCACTTTATTTAGCATATGAAAGTCTCACCGATTTCTGTGGTAATACACACAGTAAGCTTTTTGTGTATTTATAGAATATGGGCCCTTTAGAACACAGCATTTACTGATCTAATACACATTTAAAATAATTCTGGGCTTTTAAATTCCTTTTATATTAATTACCTTTTTGTCCCGACTGCCAGTAATAAAATAGTTGCTATCTGGTGTCCAATCACAAGACCAAATTATTCGACTGTGAATGGCTGTATTTTTGTCTGTGTATGCACAGCAACTGAAGACTGGTCCTGGAATAAACCATATAGAGGAAAACCCTTGCTTCAACTACTTTGCATATTAAAAGTAATTGTTACACTTATTTAATTCTATGTAAGAACTGCAGGAACATTTTGACATTATTCCACTCATCCTCAAAGTAACTGGGAATACTTAGCACCACGTAAATGTTTTTTTTTTCCAACACTTCTTATACTAATGAGCACCTGTTCAAGACCACATCAGTCAGCCCTTATAGCACTAAAACAGTAGGACAGTTTGATCTTTTACACACATATCTGTTTCAGAAGAATTTAAGTCCCAGTATAAGACCTGCAGCTTCTTTCTATACAAGTTTTTCTGAAGTTTTAGTATAGCGCAACATTTACCACGTGCAAACGTATCCCCATTAATTTCACTACAGTTTCCATTTACCAGTAAAGCCCCAAGAATTCAAATCCGAATGATCTAATTGTAAAGAATAATCTGGTCCCAAAGAGACAAGCTGCCATTTCAATATGCATACAATCAGGCAATAAACCTGATCAGATCAGTAAATGGGAATACTTTTAAGTAGAAAAGGTTGTTATTTTGGAGCACAGACTTTGAACAACCACTTCTTGGGATGCAAATATCAGCAGTGTTGTTTTACACTGATAATGATGTTCTTTGTAGACAGAAAAGTTATTGATGAACTAATGAAAAGAGGTTTTCCTCTACTTCCTATGAGAATTCACACTCCTTATCCTGAAACATTGTGTAACTACTGTGGACAACATGCCAGGCTTTAGAATAGAAGTCTGAATAGAACAGAAATCTCAAGCCAGGATACAACTGGACATGTCTGAAGGGGCCAAATCACACTGCCAAGTCTCTAGGAAAACTATAGAGCCCAATAGTGTTTATGTGCTATTAAGCCAACAGTGCAATGATGATAATTTTCAGCACAAGCATCTGTTCTAGGAATCCATTAAAGTGTTCAAAAGCAATCTCCTCATGATTTTGCAAGGCTCAAAGTCTTAATGAGAAAGTCAACTGAATCTTTACTATCAGCTCCTTTTCCAGACAGAGCCAGTTCTAGTCAAATTCATCAATTGTGTAGGATTACCAGAAAGCCACACCAAAGATAGGTATTAATCCTGCCAAGAGTCTCCAAGTGTCATGCCCTGCAAACAGGAACAAGGCAGCTCTATGCAGGACACGGGTGTAGCAATGAACCTTCCAGCCCTGCCTGCACACAACACCGGGATGAAGGTTTTCCTTGACAGAATACTAGTTTGAAGTTCAGGCATTACACTCCAGCATGCATACTTGATTTCAGTAAGTCTGAAACATACAATCACAAGTAGAAGGCAGGAGGACGAACATCAGACTTCATTACATCCATCAATTAAACAGCATTTAAGGCCTGATTATATTCTTATCCACATTTTCATTCCCTTTCTAGCTCTTCTATACTCCATTAATTGCACTTCTTAAAGCCACAGGAGGATACAACGCTATTAATTCTTAAAAGTTGTAAGGAAAACATCCATTAAAATATTTTACCAATTCTCTTTCAAATATTTTGAAGCCAAAAATACTGAACAAACCGCAAAGTCTTCAAACACGTATATCCATTTCGCGTATCTGACCTGACTCTGATGAGTCTTGTTTCCTCCACAGTGACCAATTCCTGTCTCTAGAAACCGCTAATAAAAATTTGTCATTAGGAGAAAATGCCAGCTGAGTAACAGTCAGATTGTGAAATGGCAAACTCTGCAGTTTCTTCCAAGAAGTAGTGCTCCACAAAATAATCGCTGCATGTTCTTTTTTGGAAGCCTGTATTGATGGAAAAAAATATCAGTGAGAGTTAATGAAAGCAAATATAAAAGTCACACGTTCCAAAATACTGAGATGTTAGGGGGCTTGTTTTAAGGCTTGCGACCAAGTTTTCCCCCGGGAAGTTCCCCCAGCTGGGAAGTTTCACTACTTTCTACTAATGCTGACAATATCTGAGTAAAAAAATGTTTTATACCCATCTTTGTTAGAATTTATCTTACTAATATCTTCAAATTAATATTTTGTAATTTATGAATAATAACTTATCTGCATTCCCTATAACCTTTGCAAGGCAACTGTCATCGATACAAAATCTTTCACATTTAAGTGAAAGAAAAGAATTCAGACCAAACTGAATTCCAACTCCTGCTCTGTCAACCCTAGAAATCTGGTGGCACTTTTCACTAGATGGTGCTAGAATCTTTTCTTACCTTACATGCTGAGGCAATTACAGTGTTTGAATTATTGCAAGCAACACAAAAAATTTCATATCCGTGTCCATATCTGAAATAAAAGTGAAAAGATATTATGACACATCACAGTCATTTTTGCAGTATGCATCAAGTTTCTTATGCTAACTTAAATCCCCTTGCAAAAACGAAAGGCACCTGCCAGGAGCTTCTCACCACTGTTTCAGTATTATGTCCCAAATAATTCCTAATGAAGTTCAGCATTCAATTTAAATATCTGTATAAATTTTCACATTTAGGAACTGACTACAGAACAATCTCTACAGCCCATTCCATAGTCCTGAAGCATCAGCACAGCAGAAGCTACACTAATGATTAACAAAGCAGATTAAAGCAGCATTGAATGTATTCTTATTTTCCTGGAAAGCAAGTTTAACACCAATAAAAATCAGAAGCCACATATTTGAAGATCACCGAAGAAATACACCACAAACACCCAGCGAAGGGATGCCTGTTCTGTGAAATACTGAAAGATTGATTTCTGAACTAGAGGACAAGAATCGTGTTGGGAAAGGAAAACAACATTCTAAAAAACCCAAAACTTCTAGCTTTCTCCAGAAATAGATTTTTAATCAGTCTTTGCATGAGTTCTGCTGGAATTCAAGCTCACATATCTAGATTGGGATTTAGCTAATAAGCAGAAATGCCACACAGACTAACACAAATTAAAATCAGTCACAAAATGGACCGGATGTAAAATAAAATTGGAGATGCAATCTATAAACAGTGGACAACTAACAGCTAAATACCCATTGAAGGGGGGTGATTTTCTTTGATTCCCAGCTCTGAAGAGATGGTCAGTTATCTTAATAAACTCTTTTGGTCAGCAGCGTTGCAAACAAGTTCTTATATGGGATTGATGTTCATGGGATTTCACTTGCTGCCGAAGCAGCCATCTGTTTAAATGACAAATTACTGCCTGTGTCTGTCGAACAGGGTCCAGAAGAGTTGTTGCTGGGCACATCCCATAGACAGATCGCCACACTCATGTCTGAAGTCTGAGGATGAACTGGCTTTTAATGAAGAGTAACTGTGCCTGGGCCTTCAGGGGGGAGAGGGACTAGTGGCTGAGCTTAATTGGGATGTTAATTTGCAAATTTGATTGTATCTTAAAATGATAAAGGCAATCCTGTGTGTCTTCCTCTTAATCTGTCACCAGCAGGAGTTTTATCATAATGCTTACTTTTAAAGCATATTCCTAGAGACCATTTTGTAGTGAAAACCATTGAAAGCCAATTTTCTAAAACTGAAAAGTATTTATTCCACAAAAAGTACAAATTTCCTTTCAGTGAAGGAAGAAAATCACCTGTGGAACAACTTGTTTCACAAGTCCTCAGTCACTTTGGTTTTATCTCCTAAATGTAGTATTGAAGAACACTTGACAGAAACATTCCGAGCTTCTGCATGCAACTCTGTTCTTGCTAAACAGAAGCATTAAAATGTAATCTTTCTCTTTAAATTAAAATAAAACCCAAAATACTGTCTTTTGCAAAGTCACATAAGCAGGACTATCACAGCTCAGACCAACAGCCTACAGAGTCCAGTGCTGTCTCCAGTAAAGACAGTAGCTAGTGGCAACTGGAGATGCTGTTTATAATAGTGTATGAGCCTTGCAAGTATAGAAGCTCAAGTACAATCCCTTCCCCTGCCCCCATACACGCAATCCAATCCCTTCATTATGAAGCAAAACACCCAAAAAAGTTTCGCAATGGAGAGAAGCAATGGCATGAATGAATAATGAAATTGCATTTTCAACCACAAGCAATTTTGCCTTAGCAATGTGCAATTCATAGCAATTTTTTATGCACAGGTAAACTGACTGGACCTTCAAAGTGTCCAGACAAATGATTACAGTAATTTTCTAGTGTCAAACAGTATCTCTCAAGACTTCCAAGTGTATTATATGAAATGTACATGCATATAAACATACATATTTATGTCAACACTTAGGCTTTAATCTCAGCCTGCTGCATATAAACCCTCTATGGTGACTTTCCAAGAGGATAAAGATTAGCATTCTCTCACAGGATTTATCATACTTTTATTTTAAAGTTGTTAGATTATGTAAAAAATTCAGCAAGTTCTTCATACTAAAACCTACTCAAGCAAATGCTTTTCAAAACCCGACACTAATCCTTCAAAATTCAGTGTCAAGTTAGAGCTGGGTATACACAAATGTCAATGACAAACAAGCTATTTTTAGCAAGTCGGTTCCTCACACTGCTTTTCTGCTGCTATGGCAACTTGAAATCTACATTTATGCGATTTCATGTTACTTCTTTCAAGATTATTCTGAGCAAAAAAAACTGAAAGTCTACAAATGCTTTACATCTTCTTGCCCTTGCATAAAAGGACTTCTGTCATGAGCAGTATCTCTAAAAACAGGAAAAATTTCTCAGGTAAGTCCCTTGATGACCATCATAAAATGCAGTTATTTTAATTAACGCAGAATATAAAAGCAGATAGGCAGTACTCCTGTAGCAGAATATCAAAGATTAATGTCTCAGTAGACTTTGAGAAATGTCAAAGGCAAATGAAAAAAAAATTTGGCCCTGGCACCTTTTCACTACTTAAAGATCCCTCATCAAACTACTTCTGCGAGTGGGTGCATTAGCGGCCATAGCAAGCACAGAAGCATTTAATGTAACAGCTGGAAATTACAAAATATGCAGATATGGTCTAATACCCACCAGCTTCCCTCTTAGAAGCACTTTTGAGTCCAAACACAGTAAAAGAGCTTAAAAGCATGCAAAGAAGATTAACTGTCCAGTTGAAGGTAAAGATGAGCTCCTACAAAACCTCCTGCTTGGTCAAATGAAAGCAATCTGCAAACTGTTTTTCCAAAGGTTTTTTATTTCCCATCCCCTCCAACTGAAGTCACAAAACTGGTAATGTATGAAGGTAGCTGTTAATCAACAGCAAAGGTTCAACTTTCTGCTTGTTCCTGCCTGAGATCGCTCTTTCAGGAGATTCAGATAAATAAACCCTTAAGGCCTTGAAACAATTTGTTTCTTTGTGCTGTACTTGAAGACTGATACTAAAACTCTGAAGATTGTGGAAGTGTAGCCTAATGTTACCGGGATCTTTAAGGAACAAATAAGGTGACAAATAAGCTTTCTGGAAATTCTGCAAATTAAATGAAGAAACAAAAAAATTAAACTTACAACTTCTGAATTTCAGGCCACAAGGTGTTCTGCAGCAAGTGATCCTCTGGGGGAGGTTCTAAAAGACATTTGTACAACGTACTCAAACATGGTACTAAATATAAAATCAGCTAAATATTGTTCCAAGTTTATATCTAATGACCCTAATTCTCTATCTCTGTACAACAGAAATGAACCTTTTACCTGTAAGGATCATGGGTTGAAAATAAATCTCAGGATACTGGTTTGAAATGGTATTAAATGTTTCTTCATCCTCAGCTTGTTGAGCAGCCATGTCTCCTATTCAAAGAAAGGACTTCATTAGCTAGTGAGAACATACTTGACAGGAGGGAAAATATAAGCATTTATTATACAAGTAAAAATCATCTATTGTTTTTACAATGTAAGTAATTAAAATCAGGATTCTCTGCTTCCAGAGTTACAACAACATGCGTATTAAAACCTAGTTATTTCAATGCACATGGGAACCAAGAGTAGAAAATAAAATTAAAAAAAAAAAAAAAAAAAGCATATATAACCTTTGGACTAATTCCATTCTGAGACTGATCCCACTCCATCAGCACAGTCTGTTATAGATTCTTAAAGAGACTTTGATTTATCTGGAAGAAGCAGTCACCAGAAGTTGAACCTGTGCTTCCCCAACAGTAAACCTTTTCTTCTTTATTTGAAAATGTTTAAGGCAAAAATCTTAGATACAAGTGATGAACTCTTAAATTTAATGTAGACCCCTAAATAAAGAAATCCATACTTGCAGAAGTCCATCTACAATTTGCAAACTTTGGCAAAACTGCCAAGGGCTCAGTCCGTAGCTTTAGGCAAAAATTCCAGAAGTAACTGAAATTATTCCAGTTGATTTTAAGTTAAATTTCAATTCTGTCCTTCACTTCAAAGGTATTATTTAAGAAAAAGGTACAGAGTTTGGGAACAGTTGTTCTCAGACAGAATCTAACTTTTTGCCAAATGCACGTTTCAAATACAGAAGTTTAAAAAAGCAGGTACAGAAAAAGCAGAACAGAAAGACTGCAATTGAAATTGAAATTAGCAACATTTTATCTGATTTGTGACCGCTATCTGATCATCATTCACCATTCCTCTGCAGCGTAAGCAAGAAAGGCCTGTGGGGCTTTAGCCTAAGCCATCAGTGCTGACAGCATCGGGTGGGCAGTGGTGGACAATGCAGGAAAACTTGACAGCTTTTCTACTCGTGGTGCTGCTTCTAGGTGTGCCACATGAAATCAACAGAAATTAGGTATTCTCTGTGTGTTGATACTCTACGAGAAGTTTTTTCCCTGCCTCTCAGCAGAACTCATGAGAAAGCAGGAAAAGGAGTTTTAGCCAAAATATATTTTATGAGTTACTTCAGGTACAACAAAGCTACTCTTCTCCAACAGAAGATTTAGGAAAATTTAGCTGCATTGCCATTGAAGACCCTGGAGACAAAGCTTATTAAAATTCTTCCTTTTTTTAATTCACACCTTCTGATAAAGCTTTAAGCAGAGAAAAAAAAAAAAAATCAGGTCTGACCTAATTTGTAAACTCCAGTGTAAGTGCATTTTTACTAGAGGCTTTATTAAACACCAGATTAGCAGTTCCATCCTGTCTCAAGACACTACTCAGTTGTTTTTATCATTCTAGACAGATGTTTGTCCTTCCTTCCTTGTTCCCCCACAATGCAATCCCCTCCACCTCTCCAGTAAATTAATCTGGTGCCTCACCAGTCTTTACTGACAGAACATTAGTTACTGTTGGTTAACTAATTCTTCCCTCCCAAATACTTTCACAAAGCATCATTTATCTGGAGGTTTATGGCTCTCTTCACCGGAACAGAAAATGTGACTGAACCCTCTCAAAACATCATTACTTCTATAAGCCTCTGCAAGGGTGCTAACATTTGAGGAGAGTGTGAAAAGGACTCCAGAATATAGCTTCAGAGGTCAAGGTTTTTTACAGAGAAACCACAAGTAGGAACAGTTAGTTCTGCTTTAACAACTCAACCTAGATTTCACAGTCCATTATTCAATACTAATTTTTTTGGCTAAAAGTCATCAGTCTTGGGGGTGGTGGGAGGGAGGGGCAGCACGGGTAGTGAGCATGAAGAAAACAAAGGAACAATGGCTGGTGGGGGAATTCAAATAATACCCTGTCCCAGCTGCTCCCAGACCCATCACAGGAGAGCAAGGAAGCCCTGCATCCACGTGAAACTCCTCCAGCTCTGTCAACAGGAGAGGCTCTCGGGAGCACTGCGCAGACTGAGTGGGGTCACTTCCTACAGGGGTGTGGGACACGGTATGGAAAGAGCATGCTGGGTTTGCACAAAACATTAGGGGATGCACAGGTGAGAAGCCAAAGGCAGAGAAAGGGAGGAAAGATTCTCACTTGTGCTTTTATTTTTAAGCACCATATCTAGGTGCTACCAGAGAAATAAACAAATGCTTTGCACAATTTTATTTCTAGGCTCCTAACCTGCAGTCAAGCTTACAATAACAGACCTAACAAAAAGATGTACACTAGAATAATGATTTAAAAAAAAAAGTTTCACATGAAACACCATCATCATTATTTCTCATTAGCTGTACCTTCAAAAATGGCTTTATTGGATAATCCCAAAGCTGGCACAGTTGCACCTTCTGGAAGATCAGATGATTGCTGAATAAAGAAAAAAAAAAAAGAAAAAATTACAACATTACACACACAGATTGTCAGATTTTAAAGATTCTTCAGATTTCAAAGGCCACAGTTTAAGGAATCCCTGTAATAAAGAGAGTGACTTTTCTAAAGCATTGAAGGGGGGCACTTTGAAAAATTCCCAACTGACCGAGAACATATCCTGGACAAAATAAGTACTCTGCCAGGAAAAAACAAACAAACAAAAAAGCATCTTTTCCAAAGCCTCAGTTCAAAGGTTTTGCTGTAAAGCATGTGTCTTTAGCCCTAATTACAGGTTTTCTTCCACAATTTTATTTATTCTAGGGTAGACACTTGGGGCCCTCTGTGGAGGGATAGAAAAAGATTAGATTTAATAGCTGTAAAACCCCTTCCTTACAGTGTCTGTAAAGTTCAAAGGAAGACTGTTTTATAGAACTGGATGAATAATTTAGGTGACAGCTTCAAAACACTGTGTTCTTTATTTAAGTGTTCATAATTTGATGAGAAAATGGATGACACACTAACCAGTTTAAAGCCTCTAAAACAAAAACAGTTCTTCATTACAACCCAAAGTATAATACAATCCTATGGATTTGAACTGAATATAATCCTATTCAACCCTTTCTGAATATAAAGCTGGCTTTTTTGGTTTTAAGTATTTTTTTAGGGAAGGCGTTTGAGTGCAATTAAGAAAAAGCTTACCCACTTTAATGAAAAAAAGCATTCACAGAAAACAATTTCAATAAAGCTATTTAAGAGTAGCTGTATCATTAGAGCTCATAAAGCCTTCCTCTTTAACCAAAGCCCACGTGAAACACTTTGTGGTATCATGGATCAAAAAACAGCACTCAAAGGAAGAGCTGATAAGTAAAGTCTACATAAAAGTAAAATAATGACATCTGCCAGCATTACAAAAGCACAGTGTTATTTGTACAACGTCATTAACACAAATGCTTACAAAGTCTTACAGAATTAAAGCACTAAATAGCTAATTACGTAACTTCTTGCTACCAAACCCAAGTAATTTGTTTCCCAGATGTTTCAACTGTTAGATGAAATGGAAGGGCTAATCTGTCTCTGAGAGGCTGCATGAAAACACCACTTTCAGAGCCAGAAATGCAAAGAGCATGCAAGGAACTGTACAGAGGCAGCTATGCCGAATAAGGTCTGCTCTACAGAATGCAGAGGAAATGAGAATCAGATCTTAAAGCAAACGGGGAGCAAAGGATAGCAACTCTGCAGTCTTATCTTTCCACAGGGTAGGAAAGTATACTTAACAACTAAGAATGAGATTGTAAAGGCCTCAAGAAAATGTTCAATGTCAAGAGGAAATAAAGCATGAGCAAGTACATAATTATAAATATTTATATGTAACAACTAACAACAGTGCTGAAAGCTTTCCGCTATTTCCAAGCACACAATTAAAAAAACTAACACATAACCACACAACGATAATTACATCCAGACAAGACTGCTACACCCTTAAATTAAGGAGAATCACATTCCCAGGCTTTATTGTTTGCTTGCAAATCACCAAGTGTGTACAGTTGTCTACTTAGTCTGACTTATTAAAAATTTACCCATACTCTCTGCCATCTTCAGACACTAGGTCTTGTTTAGTTTCAACTACAACCTGTTTTGTAAGACAACTCCATAAAAAAAACATACAAAACAACACACGTGGAAGGAAATAGAAGGGAAAGAAAACAAGGCTAAAGTTTCAGAACCATTAAAATAACTTTTATGGAGTTCAGTGCAATTTAACATTTCCTAAAGCATTAATTTTATTTACATAAGAGGAGTGTCTTCTTTTAGTATATATTTAGCACACTTACATGGGAGGACAGCTTCTCCACTGGAATACCAGTGATGTTACTGAAGTTTTCTATAAAATTCTTGGGAGCACGAAAAACTCGAAGCACTTTTTCATCTGCTCCTGACACAAACTGAAACCGGCCGATCATTGCCAGACAACGCATGTCGTATCCGTGTACTTGAGGCCTTGCAATTTCATGCCAGGTTACCTAAATGAACAGACACACAGTTAAAACACAATTCTTAACCAGAGAAGCAGCAAGATTTTGAGTTCCGAAACAGTACTATTACTTTACTTCCTGACTTTATTAACACAAAGGAAAGTTAATAGCAACCTTCTCCTGACATTCAGAAAACTGATGTATGCTTACATACATCAGTTAAACCCTATTTTTCCACCAAACAATTCCTGTAATTAGTAAACTGTGTCCCTGCACAGATATATTTGAGACACTTGCTTCCCTTTATTACTAAGGGCACACTGTACTTGCTATGACTTCTTTATGCTAGACAGTCAGGAAGAGGACACAATTTGCTTAAGCAGAAGGAGGATTGTATGCTGTTTACTACTTGCAAAGCTGTAGCTCTGAAAGATGTAAGAAAGGTAGTGATAATTACCTCACTTTCTTCACCTGTCTTTCACAATGCACAGCAGTGCTGCTGTCAGCAGGCTACAGGTTCCTACTTCCCCCTTTCTTTAAATATTTGATTTTAGTGAGACCATTTAATAGAAGCTTTGCAAAAAACTGGCAAAACCAAAATAGCTTCTTATCAAAGAGCCTCTGGGAAATCCCAACGATTTTAGAAGTGTTTTCATTTGAAGTATTTTTTTTCTAGTTTCCAGAAATAGTCATAGCCCACACTTCAAGTATTATCCCAAGAAAACCAGAATTAACAGCTGACCAGAAATTAGATAGACAAGTTAGTTTTATAGTCACACCAAGCAAAGAATATTAGCAAAAAAAGATATTAAATGATTTATATTGCTTTTCTAAAAATATAGTTTATTCTACATATGAAAAAACTTGATCCTTCAAAAAAAAAAAAAAGGCCTCCATTTTCTAGCAAATACACTTTCATGAAGCGTTTTTTAGTGTCATTTGCTACTACTCCTACATGATACTTCAGTTGGAAAAATACAATATGCACTTCTGAGTTGACAGCTAACAGAATTAGAATTAATTTAATCAATTAGAATTCATTTAGACTACATATACTACAGTATTACAATTCCTGGAAAATTGCAGCCAGAACAGAATTTACATTGTACTAGATATCATACAAGCATAAGGAAAGGCATTATTTTGGCTTTAAACTGCATATATGACACTAAAAATCCAATTAAGTTTCAAATGTCAAAGCTTCCGATAAAACGTGAATGAGACATTTGAGAGATTCTGTAAAACCTCATATTTTCACATGATCTTGATTATTTTCCACTGAGAAAAACAACATTAATTCTTTAAAAACAAAAATTAAACAAAAAAACAGTGCAATAAACCCTTTTTACCTTTTACTAGGTGCATCTTTGTGTTTTTTAGAACACAACACAACAGGAATGAAAAAGCCCCAAACCCCAAAACAGACAGAGGGCTGCAGAAGTCACACAATAAGCTTCTTAGAGAAAAATCAAGGTGTGAATTTGCATGACAAATTGAAGATGACCGCTATCCCTTGTTTCTGATATCTGAACCCAGTACAATATCATAATTGATATTTTAATAAGGGATAATTATTTGCATTTAACACTTAGTTCTCTTTTTACAGAGAAAAGAACGTGAATATTGAGCTGTAATAGTAACTTTTCATAGATATCTGAACCATCCATTGTGCCTTAAGACGAACATCAGATGTCACTTCTTGTAATTTTTCAGTTGCTGAACTCACTATGGTGAAGAAAGTAATGCATTTTAAAAGCCTGAGTTATCTAACTTCATAAGCAACAGAACTACCTACCTGCTCTTCAGAGTTCAGACATGCTGAACATATGCCTTCAAATGACCCATTTCTACCTCAACCCTCTACCTCTCCCTACCAACAGGATACTTTAGCTTTCTCCCACACCCCATACAGCAACAAGTGTTGATGCTACTCGGACTCTGAATTACCACACAGCTTCATTTTTAAGGCCCTGAGAGAACACTTGCTGAAGGTAACGCACAGGTGAATTTAGGATTAAACAGCAGTCATGCTATGTGATTGCTAAAACTCTGACACTAGTATTTTTGAAGTGAAAACAGCACATACTGAACGACCAAACCAAGCATATATACAAGCAGTTTTGAACAGATCATAGCTTGGGGAAATTTAAGGTATGAGTTATACTCAGATGACTTGTTCCAAACTCAGGACAGATAAGCCCTCTTTACCAAGCTCACAAAATCTTTGAAGACAGTACCTCTGCCTCTTGTTTTCTCTTCCATGGAGCGAAGAGTCTAGTAGTTTGATCAGAACCAACACTGATGATAAACTCTCCTTCTGGGTCCCACTTTACATCTTCTACACTGTTAAAATGTCCTGAAATCATAACTTCTGGAGTCCACTCTTTCTATCAAAAAAGTCACCAAAGAAGCAAGAAGTTTTCAATTGACTGATTGGCATATTCTGACTAAAATAGAAGTATCAACGTCCTTACTAAGAAAGCAAAAAGACATTTGAAAACAGCAAATTATTAGAACTCAGAGTGCCCAAAGAGACACAAACACTGATTTATTGCTCAAATCTAAAAGAAATTTGTGTTACTGGTTCAGCTGCCACTTCTGAACAAAGAACAACCACAAAGGAGTTCAGTCTATTCCACTTCATGCTTCCCACAGGGAAGCAACAAGTACTTGAGCCTCCAAGACTGCAACCTCCCTCTGTGCAAGAGCATGACTCCTACAGAATACTCTATTCAGAGGACTATTTCAATCATTAATTTTAAACTGTACTGTTACACTTTTCTATTAACAACATAACTTACCTCATGTGACATGTAAGTGTAATTCTTTTAGGTAATAATAATAATAAAACAACGTACCTTATTAACTGTAGCCTGTTTCCAAAGGTGTAGTGCTCCATGAAAAGCATGAGCAACGATCATTGAACCATCTGGACTAAACTGGCAGTCAAAAAATCCAAGGGTATTGCCACCCACTTCACCTACCCGCACCTGAATTAATGATCATAAGTGAAATATTCATGAAAATGGCCTTTCACTCATATAAACTCATCCTAATCTAAATTTTCATCCCATGAGCTATAGGCAACAGTTCACATTACGTACAAAAATACAATCAGAGAATATTTTAATTGCAAATAAATATAATGGGAATTAAAGCTGCATGCCACTTCATTGGAGCCTCCCTTCGTAAACATCTCAGGATAGGATCTCGCTCAATCACCCAAGGGAGGAAAACACTACATTAGATGAGCTGAGAGGAGAACCCAACCTTTCCATGTTTCAGTCCAGTCTGTTGGATGTTACAGTTTCTTGTAATATGTTGTTTTCCTATTGCTCTGTTGCACATAATGGAAAAAAAAAGGCACAAAGGAACAGCAGTTTCCCATGACCTTTCTTTTGTAACTTCCAAGATTCACTACTATATTTCCATCTCTTCCTCCATGAATCCCTACAACTTGCTCCACATTCCTTCTGTGGCCTATTTTGGCCTCTGTTTTGTGCTTCCCTTGTGACTTTGCATGTGTGTATACATGCATACATACGTGCCTTAAAGTTACTCCAGTGCTCTTCCAAGATTTTCATTACATTAGAAGATTATTATAGTTACATTTTCAAGTGTTATGCAAGAGATGAGAACACAGTTCCTTCCAAGCTGGACTCTTACCAATTCCCCCATTATTATACAGCTGCTCTTAAAATCACAATAAAATTAATCTATACCTCACTCTAAATGGCAGCATCGACTAGTATGTCCATTTTATTAGCACACATTCCAAAAAATACTCCTCCTATGGAAGCGACTTTGATATCCCATGCCAGAGGCAGAATTCTAGTCTTACCTCTGAGAAGGGAAATGATTTTGTGGAGACTTCTTATTCATCATACCAAAATGGAAGGAAGAAAATGGGATGTTTCCCTTGCACCCTCCCACCCTGCAGGCTTCCAGCTCACATTTCCCTCCCTCAATGCAAAAAGGATTGTTGCAGTTAAAATGTCTCATCCAAACTGCAAGCTTCACATCTGAGGTCTAGCCAATGCAAAAGGAATGTACAAAGAAAGAGCAGCAACTTGCAACAAGCTTTACTACACAGCTGATTTTTAGAAGCTTGTAAATTTAGCCACACCTAAGCGTTACAACTAGGGACAACAAATGTGAGCTCAATGTGATCATCCTATTATGAACTAATTTTTACTTCCAGTAAAAAGGGACGATAACTGTTCAGTGGAATGGGGGAGAAATTAAATCCACCTGCTGCCACTCTCTTTTTTTTCTCCCAAGAGAGGATTAGAAGTTTCTTTGTCACTGGGAAGACCATAAACAACAGTTGGCATAACCCACCACAAGGTTTGGCTGAACTACTGTCATTTGGAAAAGCAAGTCAACTGAAAACAGACATCTACCAAAGCACTAGATAAATCTGGTTGTACTACTTGTTTATTTAGGATGATCCCCATTAGAACAGCATTCAAAATACTATAGTGAAACATGAGTATCCAGCTCAAATGGAAGAAAAACCCTAATGGCACAGCTTGTGAACAAGTGACTGTAGAACCATGCTTGTGAATTGCATGTCAGCAGCTCTGTAGTAACTGCTTGGGTACACATTCCCACAGTGATTAACTACAGTGTGTGTTACTATGCAGCACCTGGCTTGCTGTACTATGAATGCCATGTGAGCACAAACTCCCAGATAGGATAATACAAAAGTAAACAAGCAATAAAAATCATGCTGCATCACATCATTTTTGAAAAATATAGTTTTCCTTGCAACGTAGCATCAGAATGAGTATTTTTGCAAGAAAAAACGCTTTTGCCTTTCACTCCCAGCATTTTATAGTTTTTGTTCCCTCCAGGGCACACACAATGCTGAAGTACAACTTGAATACAGTACATATCATGAGAAAGGCTGACACTTGCCTGTTCTAGCCAGACTCCAGATTCCTTATCAGGTTCCCAAACGATCACAGTTTTGTCCATTGATGCAGACAATATCCTCATTGGTTGTTGCATGCTGCCATCTACAGTACAAGAAGAGCAATTACCCTACAACTGATGAGAATACTTTCTAAAATAATTTGGTCATACTGAAATCCAAACACACTAAGAAAATTGTTCAACATCAGAGATGTACAATGCAGTACTTAAATGCCAGACTTAACAGGCTCTACGTTCTTACTAGGCACTCATTAGGAGGTGCTGTATTTTTCAGCCATAATCTCTCAAAGGAAATGTAAAACACATACATGACACCAACCATATCCTCCTGTTTATTCACTCCAAGTTTACACTGAAACAAGTGTAATTTGGAGGAAAAGATAGTTTCACAGGCAGACTGCAGAGCAGTTCTCCATTCTAGCCCTCAAATTAGTTTCTACAGAAAGATTTCCAGTTTAAAACCAAATAATCTCCAGGCCAATATTCACTGTATTTTTTTCAGCTTAAGCGTTAGATTCACTAGAGACTTCAATAGCCTCTAGAATCTAGTAATACATACAACAGTAAGGACTGCTCCCCAAAATGCAGTGAAATGCTCCAGACAACTGCCCAAAACAGCCAGAACAGGGAAGAAGAAACGGGTTCTTCATTCAGTTGGGAAACTAGATTCCCCTAGAACTGCTGGGGAATCTTTCCTGAGAACAGAGACATTGGTGGGCATCTCTTGAGACAGTATCTTACGTCACACCAAACCTTTTACCTTTTGCATTGAGAATGCATCTCTCAGATCAATGTCTTTCTACTGAAGAAGAAAATCTATTTTGGGGAACCCAAAACGGGGCAGGCCACAGAATGCAAGCAGCTGCATGTATGCAGAAACATGATGTAAGACACCTGGAAAACTTTATGGTCTGACAGTTCAGGTTTTTTGAGATTACAGTGAAAGCCATCATATTTTGCCTAAACCTTACTTTAAACAGGCAAAATCTTTTATTGCTACTTAAAAAAATGTGAAAGAATAGATAACTAAGCCAATATTTCTAAATCAAGTCTTCTGTTTTTCACTGCAGGTATTCTGGCATTCTAATTGCATTCTACAGCTTAAATGTTGTATATACACTGGAAAAACGCTGTGCTTTGTACAGGTGAAGTCACCTGCCATCAGTAATTCTAAATCACCTCAGAGAAAAAGGCATTTTTGCCAATACAAATACACAATGGCACTCTGATGGTGCAAGCATGTCAAATCAAGAATCTCCTTCCCTTACACTCCAGGCAAACACACACCAGCAAATCAGCACCACAAACAAGGCTGTCAGAATTTAAGGATTTAAAAAAAAAAATAAAGATGCAGAATTAAACTGTAAATATCATTTTTTTCCCCGATGTCTGCATAAATGCCTTAAAGCTACATGCTAGCTAGAGAAAACTGATACTTAAGGAATCTGTGGCATGTTATATTAATGCACGGATGACTGAAGATTAATCTTCTGATTGTTGCTCTTTGTTCCTTTCTAGTCTAAGAAAGGAGTGATATTGAATTAATGCAGACTTTCTAAAGAACAGACATTTCAGATACATGTATCAAGGTAAAATATTAATTCATACTGATTAAACTGATTTTTATTCAACAAACAGCAAATCAATTACAATAAAGCCAGCACAGCTCAGGTTTTTTTTTTTTCATTCATTAAACAAAACATGAGTAAGAGAGAGCATCATGCAATACACAGTGACAGAGCCTGTGCTGTAAGATGTGCTATTGTGGCACACTCAGCCAAAACATCCATTTACTTATAAAATATCAGTTGCAGAATGTAAACATTTTCATAATCCACAGTGACAACTGAACAAACAATACAAAGACACATGACTGTACTCTTGTGTATACAACACTTAACATAACTGCTAAGTGTTTCGTAGCTTTTTACCTTTGGAAAATGAAGGTTGCCAGTGAACTGCATACACCCAGTTTTCATGACCAGCCAACACAGACTCCAAAGTAATTGCATATGTTGTATCAGTATCTACCACAAATCAGAGAAAAGCACATTTCTTTCTAAAAGCCAAGAAAGAGCAGATCATTTCTGGTATCGACAGTGAAAAATATCAACTGCTTTCATCATCTACTAATACCTCAATAGCCTGTTGACATTGAACAGCTCCTTGAAAACTTACTTTGCTGCAAGCCTCGAGCACCAGGCTGACACTAAGAGGTCAGCCTATTGCCTCAGAGCGGTAACATGGAATTCCTGGAGAACTCTCAAGCAATTTTGAAATAAACTCTCTGACACTGGCTCTAACCATACTCTTAACTTAAGCATATTTACATCTCCAAAACGACTGTAAATACAAGCATTAAGATACTTCAAACAATGAATCAGGATTAGCAGCAAGTAGCACGAGCGCTTTTTACATATAACGTCATAGAAGCTTCATTATATTACTTAAGTTGCTTAACAATTTAGCCCACAATGTCAGCATTGCGAGTCTCTCATGTTACAGTACTCAAACAGTATATTAAATAACCAAAAAGCAAGCCTGCACATACTTATCTGTTATCTCCAGTGTTTTTCTAAGATTTAAGTAATAGTAGCACCTCTTACTGCATTGAATTCAAAAGAAAATGAAAAGTATGTTATTAAACTGGAAAACTGCACAACAGCTTACCTCCCACGGACAAATATATCTCCTGACTACATACTGCACTTAGAATATGTGTAACAATGTATGTTGATACTAAGTTTTTTTTGTAACACAACATTAACTTTACATAGTCAACAGCTTTAAAACAATAACTCCACTTTTTCTAATAGCTGAATAAAAATAATGAAGTAAAACTAGCCTCAGATTCTTTTAATACATGAAACAAAACAAATTAGATGGTAACCACCTTGTCAGCCACCCTGAAACCACAAACAGATACACAAGTGAGAAGTTGCATAAAAGAATTTTACAGCTTTTACCTACCTTTGACAGTAAAAACATTCTCTTTCAGTCTTAAGGAATCATCTTCAGGTTCTGGAAGTGGCTTTGATTTTGAACACACTTTCCAAATCCTTATCAAACAATCCTGAGCACAACTTGCTAAAAAAAGGTCTTCACCTATTTGGTTTAAAAAGAAAAAAAAAAAAAAAAATATATATATATATATATATATAATTAGAGCCATGCTTTCATTGCAACCACTGCCATGACTAACCTACTATCCTTCCAAACATACTACAGTGTTATCCTAATTTTTTCTATTGTACACAGTATCATAAACCGCTGTTTTATTTCAACATCAACTTACTCTCCCATTTCAAACTCTCCACTAGAACGTACTGACTAAGGTTATTATCCTGCTTGTCAGACATGGTAAATACTGTACATATTGTACATATACTTCCTTACTACCTACAGCCTTCACTTCTGACATCCTCAATACTCTTCAGTAACTCCTTTCTACTTTTTCTTTCTTCAGAATTGTAGCATCCTCTAATTCCTTCTATTTTATTTTTGCCATTGCAAGAATTATCTAATTAGCTAACATCTCAACAGTGTCCTCCTAATCTCCTATTCTTACAATAAAAAAAAAAAAGATGGAGGGGAGAAGAAAAGTACTATTTCCCCCTACTCTGCCCCCCCTTCAAAAAGCAGCCAGCACTTCCTCACTCAGATACAGACATCTGCATATTGAAAAGGACAAGTTGCTAAAACTATTTGTTTGCATTTAGCTACCAGTACATACTTGAAGCAGACAAGACAAAATAAGGAATGCAAACAGAAGATATGAGTGTTCCGTATCAATCTTACTGTAGTCATAATTGCGATAACTAAAATATAACTGTAAAACAATTCTACAATTCTTATATTTTAACAGAACAAAGAGTTCTACCTTGATTTTTAACATTTCCACCACCATCTCAGAAAAAAAATTCACAGCCACAAGAGCTTAGGCACTACCATGCATCAAAACCATCTGTTGGAGGGATAAACAGTAGTACTGTTGTTAAACCAGTACTCTATTTATCTTTCATACTGACCACAGACTGCCCATTCAATGCCTCTTATCCAATCTTCATGGCCAGGGAGTATTAATGTTTTCTGAAACTGAATAAAAGTTCCTGTTATATCATAGAAATGCACTTAATTACCACTCACATATGAGCAATTAGCTTTGGGTTTTCAAGTCCTGTATGTTCACAGCTTCTATTGTTTAAAACTAGAAAACTAAGCTGCTACCAAGGATTGCAATTTACTGACAAATTCTAAATAGGCTTCTTTGGTTTTGCCACCACTGGGTAAACATATGTCCCATCACAGCACTTCGCATATATGAGCGGGAAAGAGTAAGAATTCAAGATGCTTACCTTCAAGAGGCTATAGTCTCTCTCTGATACGGATAAAAATTTTTTAATTTTTTGTACTACCATAAGCCTGATAAAGAACAACGTAATGCAGGTATGACATGGTAAATAATTTGTATTACACGTCTGAATTAGATGCAGCCGCAGATGATGTGGAAAATGAATACAGGTAAAATCAAGTGTAAAAAGAAGTAGATGTTTTGAAATTATTTCTAAAATTAATTTGTAATATAATACTAAGAATTACTTATGGGGCCAGAAATATTCCCTATGGTTTGTAAGTTTATTGACTAAGTTTCGAAGGAAGGCATACATCAAGAACTGTATCTGCTGATGGAAAACTCTGCAGGAACACAGGCTCAGATGAACACAAACACACTCCATACTTCCTAGTAAGAACTTTCACTAGTAGTACGTTTAAATTCATAAAATGTATATTACCATTTTGTTTTGATTCAAGTAATGGAGAAGTGTTTATTGCTTAATTGGTATTTAAACCAATTCTGGTTTTCTTTGCCCAGAAAAAGCTTGACTTCATGACATTTTTTTGATCCCATGTTGACTTAAAAGGTTTGAAATAACCATTTTAGTTAAAAATTTTAGTGTAGTTTAGTACAATTTATTAACTACTACATTATTTCTTGCATTCCATTCTGTTAAATCCCTTACCTAGGCCTACTAAGAGTTAAGATTAAAATCTTTGCTCTCAGCACAAGAGTGTAACTGAGTTCTCATTCCCCATCTGTAATTAAAAAAAAAAAAAAAAAAAAAAAAAACTTTTAAAAGAACAATACAGCAAGAAAAACTCTCTCAAAAATCTGTCTTCAACTTCAGAGAAGATAGCAATGGCAATTCATCCGAACAATTTTACAGCTAACTAAACATAATGAGAAATTACTGCCTCTTCTCTTTCGTGTAGACCTTCCTGGGTGTTCCCCAAAATCACTTTCCCATCAAAAAATGTTACTCAGCTTCTCCTCATTCTATGTTTCCATCCTTAATGTTACCAGAACGATCTGTATGTGAGATACATGACCAAAACAGCTTAACAGAAACTTCCAAATGGGAAAGTTTTGGTCTTAGGTGGCTGAGAGAACTCATTCTTAAGTTTCATTTGGCTTGTCATTTCTGCACTCACTGACACTTCTGGATGTGTATTCCAGATAGATTTTTATGTTAAACATCAAACTAGTTATCCGTAAATAAAGGCAGGAACAGCCCAGAAAGTGAGATCAAACAGTGACTTACAGATTCTTCTGAAGGCTATGTATTTCTAGCAATACTTTAAAAAAAAAAAAAAAAAAAAAAATCTTTTTAGCAACTCACATTTCAGATAATAGATAAAACACCTATTTATTCATTCATTTATATGATCTTTGACATAATGCTCTGTATTTTACATTCACCAAAGTTAGCTGGTTAGCTGGTAAAATTATTCCCAAGTCAAAGACTGTTTCAGGCTGAACTGCTGGTAACATTCTTGTGTTTTATAGTTCCTTTTATGTTGAATAGTGTGCATAGCTCCTGAAGCTTGACTTTAATATTAATCTAAACATACATCTAGTAACTTTTAATTTCAAGGTGTTGGGTGGGGTTTTTTAAATTACCCTCATCTTCTCACTTCAAAGGGAACCATTAAGAAAAGTAGATACTTGTTTTCTCTTTCAAGAGAGTAAAACTAATTATTTTGAGGTTATTAGTACCACCCCAGGTTTCTAATTCACTTCCCAAATAGGGTTCTAGGCAGTACTTAGCCTTCAGTCAAGCATGCAATTCTTTTGGGCTATAGTAAAAGCACACAAAATTTCCAAGACATTGTTTCCCATAAAAATTGTCCACTGAAACTGACCAAGGAGTACTGCTGATGTTATGACCTCTGCCTGCATTTTTTTTGTATTGTTTTTGCTGTCTTCTTTGACGTCTCTTGGTATCACACATTCAGTTTCTTCAGATGTATTCTGTTCTAAAACTGCATCAATTTAAAGCTTCTTACAGATGCACACAGTCGTTATTTTTAAATGATTCAGAGTTTTTATTATTGCCAAGGTTATATTTGCAAGTATTTTGAGCTGTCATTCTTCTATTTTTTAGATTTTGTTTCTATAGTCTTAGCTTTCTCCTTCTCAATTTCAGTTTTCTCCTTGTTCCTTACAGGATACATAAGCTTATTGGAAGTTACAGTACCAACAGCTGAATCTAACAAAAACTTATGGTCCGAGTCACCTACTTCACGGCTTTCCCAGGCCTCTTACCTAATCTTTGAACATTTTCACATAGCAGCAATCTGGTCTCTTTTCTTTTAGGAAAAGAATAAAAGCTGTTATGTAGGTAGCAGAACTAATGAAGCCTGGTTGTCTGTGGACATGCCCAGCACACTGCACAGCTAACCCTACCCACACTTTGGGTGCATGTCTTTCAAGACCAAGCTGGCAGTACTGTTTGGCAAATTTGGCAACTGTCGCATAACAGAGGTCCAAATCTTCTCAGTTTTTCTCCACCAGACACTAGATGTCCCTCCTCTAACCAGCTGTTAGCCTGAATTATCTTTGAGTCCCTTATTCCACTTTTCAACTAGGCCAAATTATTTCGGAGAAACAAACATGCACAGCAAAATCTTCTCTCAGAAATCAAGCTCAGCATAGAGATATTTTGGTTTGTGATCTTCTGGTTTAGTTACTTCCCCTCCATAGGCCCATAATACCTCAAGCAGCAAGACATATAATGGTTTGCTGAAAGATTTTTCCCTGGGAACTTTTATAAATCAATACCTTCTTTCAAGAACTCGGATAAGAAAACAGTTCATTTTCTCTCTACTGCTTAACACAGTAAGGGATCTCTGGGTAGAGAGTCTTAAAGGATTTAAAGTCTGCCCACTCAATTTCAAAAAGCAAACAGTTTTTATCAATAAATATATTTCAACTGTAAAATTCATTACTTTACCAAAATGCAGTCTTTACCAGCTAACTGAAGATGCCTCATCCTCCCTGAGTATAACAGTGCCCTCCAAGTTTCATTAAAATGTCCCGTTATGAACTTACATTCTATCCTGGGGTTCATATAGTCTTTTTTAGGACCTTAACTAAGAGAAGAGGTTTCCAGGAGTCACAACTAACTGGACCTTACCAGATAGAAAAGATGCAGATGTTTAGATTCTACTCACCCTTCTACACTAAGTTCCTATGAAAAATGACAGGTTAACACTAACATTACCTTCAAATACCTCTAAAAGTAGAACTATAGAAGCCATAAAAAGATGTCAGCAGATCTGAGAGAATCTGACTAAAAAGGAGAACCTCCCTTTAGCAGCTAGAAAGGAATTTACATCAGAAGGCTCACAAGGATGTTTTCATTACATTAATAGCTGTAATGCACTACACAGACATTTTTACTCCACAAGGAATCAAATTAGGGCTCTGCTCTTTGAGCTCTGTACACCCTACTTAGTCAAAAGAGATGTTCTGAAAAGATAGATAGCAACCAGAAGTTCTACCTCGTTTAAATAAGAGACACTCTGAACCCCAACTCTGCCAGGACAGCTGGTGAAAATACTTCCTAAAATTGAAGGAAAATGTGTGAAAAATAACATATGTAAAATAAAACTCCTCATCCCTTGCATGATTAAAGTTTCCTAACTCTAAAAAAAGACAGCAGCATAAATTTGCTTATGAAGCTGAAGATGGGAGGGTTTTTATTCCAATTACCTTCCTTTATCCTTTACAGACTGACTGCATTTAAGAATGGCTAAGACTGCTGCTATGCTCAAAAGTTTAGTCAACAATTGGCAAAATAAGCTATGGATCTCTGAACACTTTTGGCAGTCAAACTGCCTAGTATTTGTTTTCTTGTATGGTTCAGATTAGCAAATTCCAGATTTTGAATGAGGAAAACCAACTGACATAAAAGTCTTCCTTTAACACAGAGTCATGGGTGGTAGTCTGCCATTGCTAATTCCCAGAGAATGTCAAACTGATTTAACTCATGAGCTATGTAGAAAAAAAAGGAAAAAAAAAAAGCTAAGAAAGCAACCTTTCTTTCCAGTTTAGTGGTCAAGAAATCACTGAACATCACAGATAAAGGGTGAAGTATTTATTTTATGGACAAAAAAAAAACCAAACAACAAACTTACTATTGTATGTTGCAGCATGAACAGGCAAAATTATCTATAAAGTGGCTTTTCTCTCTCTCAAAGAGCAAAAAGAAAGAAAAGTGGATCTTACATACATTAGTTTCAATGGGGTGCATTGCTGAGCAGGTGTTTGTGGTTTGAGGGTTTTGTTAAGTGAGCAATAGAGAGAAAGAAGAGACATTGACTTCTGTTTTGGAAGTCAGTCATTCAACACATGCTTTAGAGTCTGAGAAAACTTCTGAACAGATGCAAGAGGACAGAATTACTTTACAGTGCTCCAAAGGAACACTTAACTGTATTAAAAACTAAAGATAGTTACAGCTTCCAAATAAGACATGAAAAATATGTGTGCTTTTAGAAGATAAGACACTCCTTTAAAGGTTGCTCTTGACATTCAGAAGCATTCAACACAAAGGGTATACTTAGCAACAAACATACAATTCCACAGAAATCGTATCAGTTCTACTGTAAGAATTCGTAGATTGAAAGTAACATAATTTCCATACGAACCATTCAATACATGGATACTCAGTAAAGAAGGACAGCTATAGCTATTTTATGTCAGCAAGAATAGAAATACAGGCTATATTCACACAGGGAAGAAAATAAGAAAGAAATAACACTTTAATGCACTGAATCCAACTTCAATATTCTGTATGTACATTTCATCATTACCTAGAAAAATGGATGAACTATTTGAACAGAGGTAGTTGTATGTGATAGCTATCTAGAGACAGATAGTAGTTATTGAAGAACCCCAAAAAAATCAGCAGCACATATGGAAAGAAGCAGAAGTAGTGACTAATGTTCTGAGCAAGAGACAAAAACTGTAATTACCTGGCCATTCTGCTGTATAAACAAATGTATTTTGCAGTCATCACCACCACAAGCCAGTATTGGTACTGGAAAGGAAACAAAAAAGGTATTCATTACTCAAGTTACAAAATACAATATTCTAGGACATAAAAAGTTATTTATATAACAAAAATCAATATAGTATCATCAAATACATTAATATAAACAGACAGGTAAGCATGATAACACTTTTTTATGTTTTCCAAATTAGACATCTAACACTGAAATAAACTAATGTTTCAAGAACACAAAACTTACAAGTCATTTTGACATGTAAATAGTATCTACAAATACTTAAGATGCTAATGAGTAGTTTCCTTCAAGCTCACATATCTGTAGGAAGTTCAAGTATTAGGGATTTTTAATTATGTTTATTTTATTGATATCAGCAGGCACTTGCTCCAAATACAAAAGGAGCAAGCAGCAAAACAAAATGACTCCGAACTAATACAGTTCAAGTCCTGAATCAACTGAAATAAGTATATAGACAGACAGAGGTAGCATAATTATTACACAGCAAATACAAAGACAGACCAAAAAAGCAAGACAGACCACTACTCACTGTACACAAGGATATGGAAGCACTTAACATTATTATACACCTACTCAAGTCTTGAGTAGTAGTTTACTTCTACAAGCTATCTAGAAAGTGTGCAAAAAACAAGTCTGTTGAATCAAACCAGACAAAGTTACATCTAAGGGGAAGACAAGATAAGTTAGGCAGCATATTAGTTCATCTCTCCTACAGAAGGTGGTGGGGAAAAATGGTTAATCCCAACTCCACTCTTTTTGGGTCATAAGGATGTAGTACCACCACTAGGGACGGAAATAGCAAAAGAAAATTAATTAATTAGAAACTTATGAAGAAATAAGTTATCAGGGCTAGGCATTTGTGTTTCTCAAGTCTAGGTAGAAAACGAAGTATTAAATTTCACAAAAATAAGCTACTTCATTTAAAAAAAAAAATAAATGTAATCCCTTTAAAGAGATAATTTTATCTTTATTATGGATAAACCAAAAAAAATCAACTTGAATATTCATAATAAATTTATGCTCTATGCTAATTTCCTGTTTCTGCCTGTACCAAATCTGTGTCTAGTTGTCTGCTGTTCCACTCAGACTTGTAAGTCACATTTCACATTCTTGCACCTCCACCTGCTTCTCTCCAATGTCTGAATCACATTTCACCTCCACCTCCTCCCTGCTGTACATGGGGCCAAAAAAGACTGCTTTGGACTGGAGGTAATGAGCCGTTTTGAAAGATCTTTAGGTCCATGGAAATTGGGCAACAGTGAGGGATTTTTTTCACAAAATACAATACAATGTATGTTCATGGAGTCTGTACCATCCTTTCCTTAGAAATATTTTTTAGGGGCCATTATAGTAATTACATCCTTATGCAATGATATAAAAGTTAGACTAATAAAAACAAGAAAAGAATATTGATCTAGTTGCTTATTCAAACAAATGCAAAAGCTTTCACGCAAAGAGTTATATTGAGAAGTATATAACTAGCAAAAACTGATTAGTATAGTTTGTCACAGAAATGATCTAGAGTATTGGAATTTGGTTCTGACTGAGATGAAGTCCTGCAAATGAAAAATTAGTTGGAAACTGTGGTCCAATTGCAATGGGGACAGTGTCATCAGCCAAGCCTTTTCAAGTTGGCTCACTATCTTTTTCACCTGTTGCAATTCAGCTGTGAGGAGACAATTCTTATTTGTCAGAGGCCAAGCTACAGCACCACAATTATCCAGGTGGCAGGGAGACTCAGAGTATATGACAAAAGAGTTCAGCAATATTTATAAAATAGTAAATCCTATTCCCAGAATTTTAGAAACAAAGTTTCTGCAAACACTGCAAGGCAAAAAGCAACAAGACAAACATGAACCTCTTCAAGACTCAGAACACAGCTGTAAAAAAACTCCTTAACAAAGAGGCCGCTAGTAAAGTGCTTAAGCTATACTCCAGCTGCAAATGATTGCTCAGGTTTTTGAGCAGTCTATTGACTTTCCCCATTTGACTTTGTCACAAAAACACTTTGTTACTTTTTTTTTTTTTAAATCGTTTCTTTTCAAGGACAATCAGTTAAAATACTAGACATCATGAACTTCAGTGTCTTTTGAAAGTTAAAGCATCCATTACATATGAATCAATTTTCAATGCAAGCTTTAAATTCCTTTGCTTGGTGAAGTTAGTTTACTGTAAAAGCTTCTAGTTCAGAAGTTTAGAACTTTCAGAAAAGTAATTACATATTTAATTCCTGTCTTAAGAACTGCAGATTGTCCTCAAGAGAAAAGCTTCTTTAAATCTTAATATAGCTGCCAACATAGCCTTCATAAAGATTTCAGAGCAACTCCTAAAGTTATCATAGATCATTTTTCCCTGAAGCTCATTAAAATTCCGAATTGCCATTACAGATTAATGTTTCTGACAGAATGATCAGCAGTGATATTTTTAATAATATATTTTAAGCTACTTTATTTAGATTTCAGATTGAACGTACTCCTCTGAACAAAACCACTTCAGTTATACGGACTATGTCAGGTTTAGAGAAAAAACACAGAATATGGCTATGTTACATTAAAAGCCCCTTTACAGATTTCTAGGGGAAACACTTCTAACCATACATTTATTTAAAATAATTTAAAATATTATTATTTATTTAAAATATTTTTTTAAAATAATTTATCATTTGAAAATAATTTCAGATCTTCAGAGAAGTAAAGTACTGTTTTTCAGGTTATTAGCACTGTGTTGATTTGGATAACTAATTTGAATTGGCATAGGAAGAGGCCATAATAAAGGCTTGTCCTGCTCTAAATGCAACTTTAAGCAACACTGGGTTTTGGGGACTCTGGGAGATTTTCACAGCAAAACAAAATGTTTTCTATTCCAACATTAAAGAAGCTTCCAACATTCCATGCAATTTTGCTTTCATAAGAATTTAGTTTTAAGAATTAATATGATAATCTTCATTTCAGGTTTTTCCAAAATGAGTGGTCACTTCTCATATACAACCTGATTTCAACGTTAAACAAATGCACCACTCTAGAGTGTTACAGGGAGAATGTCTTACCTATACAGTACCATAAATGAAGAAATAACCTATTGCTTTGCAATATGAATTTTATACTCATTAAACTGGCACTACAGACACTTCTAATGAAAATTCACACTGAAGGTAAAGATTCTAATTTACTCTCAAGTCTTTTAACTTCATCTCAACAACCACCCGTTAGTATATTTACAGGAAAATTAGAGAGAGGCATTTAAAGTTCTTTATCAGTGCAGATGCTGCTTTTGATATCAGACACACTCTGGAAATGGACATTAGCATTTCCAAATGGGACAACACATCTTGATAGAGCTGTCGTATCTCCCAGAATTATCACAAGCCAAAGAATAAAATAAGCTTCCGTATTACTGCTCTGGAAGCGTACAGTCAAACACCACATCAGCATGCAACTCATGCAGCAAATAGTTGAAAACTCTAAATACAGTAAGAAACCGCACTTTTTCTCCCAGGAGCCTGGCAGTCCTCCATCCAGGTGAAAGGCTCTCACGATACTTAAACACAAACCTAATTCAACACATGTATCTTTCTTGATGATACATTTAGTTTAAAAAAACCCAAACAAACAAAAAACAAACCAAACAAAATAAAACACACACAAAGCTTCTACAGATTTGCAATGGACAAAAGCGCCTGTGGCAGGCTGCAAATTCTGAACACTTACGTTAATAGAAAACTATATAAACCACACTGAACAGTCAGATTAAAATTGTGCAGCATCTCAATTTTTTCACATTTAAGACTGAACAGGTGATAAACATTGCTCATTAACCTGCAACTTTTGATGCAGGCCTGCAGACTCTCTGGATCTTGCCCTTCAGCCCAAACAAGAACAAACACACACAGCAGAACCACAAGGACTCGGCAAAACTAACAGCATTATCCTACCCTGTTCACTTACAGCCCTATTACCCCCTTTTTAAGCAATCTGTCTCAAGAGTTCAACTAAAAGAACTCCATTTGAGCATCATTTTGAAGACACTGTAATCAGCTAATATTTTCCTAACTGCCAAAAGTTCAGTGAGAATCTTTAGATACAAGCAGCAGCTTAGGCTGATTCCACAGAAAACAAAAAATATGGCACAAGTCTGTCAAATGAAAGTCTATTTGGGGAATTTCTCAGATTTTACATCTCCTGTATTGACATTCATGATGTGCAGCTGTACTCACCATTGCTGCCAGGCAAGAAGGATAAGCAGACATCCATAACAAATCCATTTCCAAACTGCAAAATTTCAGTGCATTTAGCTGGAAAACAAGAACAGACTGTTGATCTCTCATTCATCGTTAAGTATTACAGTTACACTACCATTTCCTACTACGTTATGTAGTTAAAATCTCTCAAACTTATTTTAAGGAGTTGAAAAACTTCTACTTTTTTCAGAAGCCTAAATAATGCTTTCTTCTGTGGGGCCACAGAAATTCATCCAGAGTTAGAAGGTAAGTCCCTATTCTCTACTGAATACAGCTTTACTGTGGTAACACATCGGAAGCAATAAATATTGCAAATTGTATCATGTGGCAACAGCATTCACCACACAGGAAGCTAAAACTGAATCCATTTGCTACAAGAGCAGACAGAGAGATGAGTAAAAACCTGCAAACACCCCTGAGACCCTAGAAGCAGTTAAATTGGTAAACGATCAAGATCAGAACAACCAGCGGCATAGCAGAAAAACCTTTCTAGAGGAGCAGAATTAGTCCTTCCATCTCTGGAACCCATAACCCTAAGACAAAAAAGAAAGGACAGGACTTCATGGTGTTCTTTGGGAGCATGAGAAATGCCTTCTAGAACGTGGGACTGAAGATTGGCAGCTCCCACTTATTTCTCTCATGTAGGCAGGGCAATGTGAAATCCTCAAGTACTCCAGGAAGAAAGTAGCTTGAGAGACGCAGTCAGTAAAACTAAACTAGCAAATAACACTTTAAGAAATAAATAGAGTGGATAATCTAGATTTATGGATTTCAAAGAGCTGTTCTCCCATGTGTCCATGCAAGGGCCTAGTTCACCAGAAGGTCCAAACTACTATCCCAAACTTCATTGGGCTCAAGTGAAGAATAACAAGTGACTAGTTTAACCTCACCTTTCTAATGTCAACATTAATAATTTTATTGAGTAATTTTATTTCACACACACATACAGCTAGTCTGCCCTCACATCACAGGGCAAAATAATGGTTCAGATTATCAGATCCTGAATACATATTAAAAGGAAACAAGTAAGTTCAGCCAACACAACGCTGATGAAAAACAAAGATAAATCATTCTGCAGACCAAGTCTGACGCAAAGCTGTTAAACTAGTGTAAACCTCAGCTTTCAAAGAGCAATACAGTGGTTTGATGTACCAAAGTTTGAAGAGAAATCAACGTACTTGCATTAAAAAATGTTAGTATTTAGCCAAGTAGTTCAATGGATTGAAGCATTCATCATTTTTATTAATGCAGTATGTTGTCCCTAATGTTAAAAAAAAAGTTACCTTCTGAACCATGCCAAGACCAGATTCTCACAGTAGAGTCAGAAGCCGCAGAAGCTATTAGCAGATTTAAATCAGGTTCATCTGACTGGTAGACAGCATCCACAGCACAAACAGCTTCAGCATGGCCTTTGAGAGGAGTGCTTTTCACAAGCTGAACATATCAGAAAGTTTTATAAAGTTGTAAATTCCAGTAACTTATTCCAGATATTTTTTTAAAGCTATTTTAAGACATAAAATAATTTAATACTGAAAACGAGTCATACACCTGCAATGGCAGAGCACCTGCCAAGCTATGCTTAAGCTATAGCATATTCCAGGAAAACACAGAGAGGGACGCAGCAGTAAGGTGTATGAACTTCGTAAGATTTCGTTCGAAGCTGAACGGAATTAATTGTTCCTGTGTACACTATACAAACCTCACCATTCCACCACAGAAGTTAAGAGCAGCAGTTTTTCTTCCTTTTTCTCCTTTGCTTGCCCCTCACCCTAAGGAACATCTCATAAAAGTTTGGAGAACTTTAGTGAAGGAGACAGAGCAGAGAACACAATGGAGTAAATAGTAGCTACAGCAGCTCTAGCAGCAGTGTGTAGTGTGTTCTCACAAATCAAAACAGCTTTTTACTCCTTCAAAATACTGACAAACAAAAACTCTAAATTTATACTTCAGTACCTACTTTCTTAATGAATTAATAAATACAAGTGATTCAATTTGTAATCTGTCCTTCATAAACACAAAGAGCGAAATGAGAAGCTTTTAATTCTGTGACCAGAAGTCATTTAGCATTCATCCAAATTTTGTCATAAAACACACTTGCTATTTCTTTCCAAAATACAGCCTCGTAGGCCCCAGTAAGGTTTTTTGATTGTTCTGATGTAGAACTTTGCCTGATTTCAAGGATGCACACTAGTCTAGAACTGTCGTTAAAACGTGCACATTTAGCTACATTCTTTTTCCAAGACTGCCATAAGGCTGTGCACCACATCAGTGGAAAAGGTTAAAGAAATCTGCAAGTTATTTTAAATAAACACGTTAAGAGTTACAATAGATCAGGATCAGAAATCATTTATTTCTGAGAACATCCCCCCATCAAACTAAATGTATTTCCCCCTAGTATGCATTCTCGTGCATTTTAAAATGCCAAATCTAATCTAGTTTCAGATGGCCTACATAGTCATTCACAAACTAATGCCCAATAAGTAAGATTTTTAAAGTTAGACAATAAAGTATTTTTTTATCTAAATTTCAGGTAATTCTGAAGGCTCTTTTACACCATACTCTATCTTTTCCCTTACATTTTACACTATGAATAATAAATTAGCATGTCTCCTTACTTCTCTGTTTCTCTGAAAAAAAAAAAAAAATCAATTATTGCAGATTTTTTTGTTTTGTTTTGTTTTTAAACACCTACCCAACTTGTATATTATCCTGGTAAGACTTCCTATATACAAACACTACACTGTTACACAGATTGACTGGAAATCACTAGAAATGGATATCAAGAAACAAGGAAGAAGGGTACAGGAAATCTCAACTCAAACACCTCATGGTTTGAAGATTTTAAGGCAGTTTAAAGGAAAGTGCTACTTGAGATCAGAAATCTGATGACTCGAGAACAGACAAACAGGATTTTTTAGACATGCTCAACATGCAGACCTGATGACTGGGTAGCTAATTTCTTAATAAAGGCTGATCTGAAAAAGAAACTACAGAAAAGAAGAAACAACATTCAAAGTATAACACACCATGACAGAATGCCAACAATTTGAAGGAGATACACACGGCATTCAATAGTGAAGATATAATGAAAAGATATGAATAAGAAATAAAGACAAAACGGACAATTTGTTGTATATAAGAAACCAGGCTGGAGGAAAGGGGAAACTTTAAAAAGAGGTTATTCCTGCTTACCTGATTATTCCACGTTGCTGTTTTATTCCATTCCCAAAGAATGAGTTGTTTATCAGACCCACCAGAAATTAACTCTGTTTCAGAAGCTAAAAAAAAGTTTTGGTGAGTTTTCTAAACACTTACTTTGTAACAGCATAAGCAGTTATATTGGCTATGACTCACAAAATACCCTGTATCAACTGTAAGCAAAGTTTCCATCAAAATAAAGTATGGCTAATATGAGTTGCACTGTGCAGGACAGCTTAAGAGAAAAGGCATTCTCTAAGACAACATAAAGAGAAGAGACAGGAATATTTAAAGTTTTGTATAAATGTGATAAATACGTCTTTCCAAAAAGATTCTCAAATCCAACAGTGTAATTTAATATTTTTTTTAATTATTACTATTTGGTCTGTTTGGAGGATAGGAAAATAAAGCAAGAGAAACCTAACCAAAGAGAATTCAAAGCTTCACGTGAAAATTTAATTTCCAAGTTCCCTGAAAATAATTTCTTTTAATCCATTTTAAGATGACAATGTGTTAGTGCAAGCAGTTGAAAGGGTGGCAGTTTACATCACTATTAAAAATTGTAGTTTTCACCTCAGATCTTCCCCCCCCCAAAAAAGCAACAGGCACGTTACATTAACAGTCTGATCAACAGCCCCACTTCTCTTTGTCATGTGTGTCTATAAATGACTAGGGGCAGGAATACGTGCCTTTAAAAAACCTGCACTAACAGCTTTAAATCCTGGAATTACTATCAAGCAAAAGCCTCATAAGAGTCCCAAACCTTTCTGTCTTGAAAGGTGATTTTTTTTCATGGACATGACTTCTGTGCAATTTACAGCTTTATTGTCAGAGATCTCCTGAGAGGCGTTGCAAATCGGTTTACAAAGTCAAAACACGCAAAACTCCAAACCCTTACTAAAGAGCCCGGTGGCAGCACAAGCATCACAGCCGCCGATCTGTCAGAGCCAGAGCAGCCGCCTCGGCTGCGGGGCCCGCAGGAGGCAAGCCCGGCCGGGTGCCCTCGCTTACCGGGCAGCTCACCCGGGCTCGGCGGGCCCGAGTCGAGCGGAGCCGCCTGGTGACACCCCTCCAGGGGAGCTGGGCTGAAGGAGGGCAAAAAGGCCGCGCTACTCACCGCCGTCCCGCCGGCGGACCCAGCGCACGCAGTTCACTCTGCCGGCGTGGCCGCGGAGGGCGGCGGCCACCCGCCTCACCTGCGGCGGGGAGAGAAAGCACCGAGCGTCAGGCCGCGCTGCCGGCCCCGGCCCCGGCCCCGGCCCCGGCCCGCAGCGCCCCAGCTCACCGTCGGCTGGTAGAGGACGACGTCGTGGCAGCTGCCGAAGGCGAGGAGCCCCCGCCGCCCCCAGGACACGGCCCCGCCGCCCGCCCGGTTAGCGCAGCAGGCGACATGACAGACTTCCACGGGCGCCGCCATCTTCCTCCCCGCCGCGTGCGCGACCTCGCGCAGCTCCCCTAGCAACGACCCCCCGCGCGGCGCCCGAGGGGGCGGGGCCTGAGGCCCGAGGGGCGGGGCCGAGCCGCGGCGGGGGCCGGCGGGCGCCGTTCGGTCTCGTCCCGGCTTCGTGGGCGTGGGGTCGGGGAGGGTCGGCGTAAATCAGGGCGGCTGTGGAGAGATCCCGGCTGTGGGCTTCCACCGCTGGGCTTCCTGTGAGGGAGGCCTCGCCGGCGCAGTCGCTTAAAATCGGCATAAAGCACAGTGAAACCGAAATTAGTTTGGGTTCGGTTTTGGTTTTGTTGTGGGCTTTTTGATGGATGGGGGAGAGTTTTAATCTTTATTGCACCTACCCTCAGAGGTTTAGAAAGTTTAAAACTTTTCTGTTTGGAGTTCTGTGCACACACGTTGGTTCCACATGGGCTAGGAAAGCTGAGCCGAGTATCAGAGATTGTGTTACTATCCATTTCTGATCAGTTTCTGTCATGTGCAAACCCTCCATCTGATAAAGAATCATTCTTAAGTCACTGGGTTCAGGCTGTGTTTAATATTACAGTTTATTATGATGTCCTGGAATAACTGTCACAGGGATTTGCAACTGAGCAATGGCCAGGGCCCCAGTGAGGTGATCCGAATACGTTTGAGTACTTGTATTTTTCAAGACAAAAGATGAGATCGTAGCAGATGGGAGAGTTCCATCTGTTACGTTTTTATTTTTTGATTTATTGTTCTACTTGGTGACCTCCCTACCCGTCAAGAACAGCAAATACCGCAGTAGTAGCCTAGTTCTACTCGCGTGGTCACTGGCCTAAAGAAGTCGGATCACTAGAGGGTATTACGCTGTATGGATGTGCCACGAGCTGTTTCAGCGATTGGGCTTCACAGGCTCAAGAGTTTTGCAACCTGCTACCCCGCAGGCCTTGTAGGAGTCTCTGCAGGACCTCCGAGACGTCCACCCTGGCTCCCCCCCACATGCAGAAAGCCCTGGAGCAGAGCCGAGGCTGAAATGTGAAGGGACTACCCTGTGAGAGAGAGTGGAAAGGGAGAGGAAACAGAGATGTGACTGCCTGCAGCTGTCCTGTGCTTCCTGCCCCCAAATCGCACTGCGGGTGTCCTGAAATAATTGGGGCTGAACTGAGAAGCTGGAAAACTTGGGGGCAGGGGGAGAAGACAGCTCTACGTGGCTGTGCGGAGAATGGGGGGACAGCAAGAGACGCAACAGAAAGCAAACAGGCATCCAGGGCAAGGAAGTGCTCTGTGTGGCACAGGGAACACTTGGGACCTTAAACCACTCCTGCCTGGCCTTTATCTCTCAGTGTGCCTGCGTGTTCATAAATACTGGCTGTAACCTGACACAAAAATGTTGTAGCTGGGCACGGCTTTTTCCAGCGGGTATGAGAGGAAGGAAACTGCGCCTGATCACATACAAGATCCAGCCAGAAATGTTAGCTGCTAAGGGAACAAATGACTCCTCGCACAAAAATGCATGGATCCAGTCATCAAAGCGTGCTGGAGCTGAGGAGCGCTGCCTCCAGCTGCCGAGGATGGCTGCGCGGCAGTCAGGTTGCACAGCAACTCCCTTCTCACCGTGCCCGGCCAGGGTCTGAGGCAGGGTCCTGGCAGGAGGAGGTCAGGCTCTGCCAAAAAGCTGGGGCATGTTGTAGGAGTTGCGTTTGTTGCTGTGGGAGCGTAACTGGCTCTGACTCTTGATTGTGGGCAAAGCGCCGGCTTTTCCAAGGTGGATTTGGCGGGGGGGGGGGGGGGGGATTCCTCTGCGACACGAGAAAGTCTACTCATCTGATAGATAACCTGCTGCAGCTGCTGTCCTGTAAACAGGAGGGCCCTGGGCGCTGCTTGTGTCAGATTTGGAGGTGCACATCAGGCCTGAGGGCAACTGTGACCCCATGCTGCAGGGTCTTGTGGGGCTGGTCCTCACGGCCTCAGTCCGCCACCTCCAGATTGGTACTTTCACAGACTACGTGAAGGGGCACATCGTGGAGGGCTCCTGGCACCAGGTACTGCCAGTGAGTTCCTCCTTTCTGCCACAAAGGTCTGTCACTGTCACCCCTGTGCCACCCTGGCACCTCCCAGCACCGAGAGAACTGGGATAGATCAACACAGAATATGGGCTTGAAAGTGCTGTGGGAAATGCTGTAACAGCACCACAGTGCTGTTACAAAAAAGCATGGGAAACTCTGTCTGTATCTGAGTGGATTATCCTAGACAAGCCTACTTTCTTACTTACTGTAAGTTTTATCACATCTGACCAAGTCCTCATTCATACAGGATGCTGGGCCTTTGGTCTAACCTGAGGAAGTTTTCTTTGTGAGTTCTGATGTTACAGGATCTTATGTCTGAAAACTGAAATATCTGGAGGGTAGTGTATGGGAGACTTAGAATATTGGATAATTCTAACAATCAAAACACTTTTTAGGAACGCATGCATTATCAGGAAGTAACGGTGGTGTTCGGTGATGTTGCAAGGATGGAAAACGACATACTCTGGGCTAGTCACCAACTGCCAGTCTTCATTCATGGCTAGTGTCCTTACTGAATTCAAATCTGTCTTTGCAGAGTTCAGATCTGTCCTTGCTGTTTTCCTTCATCTTCCCAGAAAATAACTTCTTCACTTTTCAGACATACATGTAAAAATAATCTTCCTCTTTTTTCCCTCTTTGGTGTAATTTTTGAGGCAGAAGAAGAACTAAATTCACTGAACATCAGAAAAGGTTGTGGTGGTGCCTAGAGAGACTTCAGAAGTCACTCCATAGCCTTCTTCACATCTTTTACATGTCCCAGTTTGGTTCTGCCAGTGGAGTTATGTCAACAAATTCCCATTAGGGAGATACTGTTCATACTGACAACAGGTTTCTTTAGTTTAAAATAAATTCATCAGTTAGATATTGGAAACCAAAATAGTAATTTTGGTGGCAAACTCACTTCTACATGTCAGGCTTTTCAGAGGTGGCTTAGCAATTTTCCTGTGCTCCCTACCCAACATAGTTATGCCTGTAGCTTTTAGAGACTGAGAAAATAAAACAGTAGTCAAAAAATGAGAAATACTATTTCATATATTTATCTAATTATGTCTGAACAATGACATGAAAATATAATAATGTTGCAGATATGTTTTCCTGCAGAATGTTTCCAACCTATTATACAGCATATTTAGCCTTCTCATCTTTTCTGGTTTTATGAGGAAAATAGTGTTGGATATATATTGCATGTATTGTTAATTGAATCCATGTTGAGAAGAAATCTGGTCTTTGATAAATTCAATCAAAGTTTTATGCTTTCCTTTATTGGGTGGGGTCTTGTTGGTGTACAAGAATATGTATTATTAGACACAGGTCACTCTACATGATACTATGAAAGCAACAACCATATGTTAAGTTTAACGTTTAATTATATGCCGTTTAATTCTATAGAAGAATGTTTAGAATTAGCAAAGCCAAGTACTCCAAGGTTGGGGGGCCTGTTTTTCTAGTAGTTGTTGAACTTAGCCTGTCTTTATTTGTCTTCACTGTATACATGCCTCATGAAGTAATCATTAATGAAGTTACTTCATACTCAAATTACTGCCTGCTGTTTTTACTGTCGCCTGCTTGCCTCCAGTAGCAACCTGGATGAATAGTGCGTGGTGAATGAGGCAGCTATTCAGTATTTCCACTTCTCCTCATTAGTTATACCATGGCCCTATGCCTAATTTCCTGTACAGTATTCTTAGGACAGAATTATCCTTTTCCTCATAGCCTTTTTTTTTTTTTTTTTTTTGTGACTTTTACTGCCACAGTACCTGAATGTCTCAGAAAAAATGTATGAATTTTATTTTTCTTTATAATATTATTGTTAGACAGATGGGTATTATTATATTAATTTCCTGGGTGACTATTTCCTCCTAGGACCAGAATTCATAACGAATTAACAAATGCACCATGGTTCTTCAGTGACGAAGTGCCCAGTGTGGAAGCCACAGAGCAGCGTTCAGGAGAGGGGTTAACCACCCACAGCACCGATTGCCTCCAGCTGGGACTGTGAGCATTTAAAACTTTTGGAAATTGGATTCCAGCACGGGGACACTCCTGATGGCTTCTGCAGGGCCAGAGTTTCACCTGAGGGATCAGAGCTGGAGCACTGAGAAAACAAAAAATAAGCAATAGTGACCAATACCATAAAGATGAGTTTAAATTATTTGCCAGCTTTGCAGAGGATACTTGTACAACAGCTAGGAACAACTCCATTGCCTTCAACATCTTGAGTACAAATCCAGCCTCTTCCTTTTTGCCAGCTGTGAGACCTGCTTCAGAAAGTGTTTTGATGCATGAGGAATACTGCTAACTCCTGCGTTTCCCTTGAGCCTGCATCTACCAGTAGGCTACCAGAAAGGGTGACCAAGGACAAGTGTCATGCCTAAAGTTACTGACTGAATCCATTAAAATTCAGTGTCAGACTAGTTTTTACTGCCATTGATTGATCCTGGAACTGTTGGTCCTGCGTTCAATAAAAGTTAAGATTTCCAGTGTACGTTGAGCATAATGTAAGCCCATGGCATCCTTTTCAAATACATTTCTCAAGGTAAAAAAAGCAGATATTGTCACTTGAATAGATTTAATTTCTTCTTTAATTCATCTCACTGAAGACTGAAAGTTGAATGATACTGGTGAAAAAAGTTGAACTGAAAAAGCTGTAACTATAGCTATTTCCATTTTTCTTGAAGGCAATATTTTAATGTATTCTATGAATGGCTTATATTCCCACTGCATAATGGATTGCTGATTTTCCAAATAAAAAATAAACTAATTATTTATAAATACCATCAAGATTAGCTCTCCAAACAATGACTGTAATTGTGTAATTGCTGGCTGAAAGAAATTCCACAGAAAATGTCTTTTTTTTTTTTTTAAAGAAAACCTAATGCAGACATGACCTAGAAAAATGGTTGGGCGTGGGGGGGAAAGGCTGAAACAGCTTGTCACATAATCAAACTGATTGTGCATTATGTTTTTGAAGCACAAGCTC